TATATTGTTATTGTTTTATTTTATTATATATATAATATATATATATATATATATATGTAATTATATATATATATATATATATGTGTGTGTGTGTGTGTGTGTATACATATATATGTACCAAACTGATACAGAAGTGAGGTTTGAGTAGATTATGATTTTTCATGTATGTATTTTATTTTTTGCTGCGAGTAGCCTTCTTGCTTCATCCATAGATTTTTGAAATGTGCCCGTAGGGCATTTTGAGAACGAAGAGGAAGAAAAGGAAGGAAGAGCCCAGAGGGGCAGGAGGGCCTCTTTTCGTGGGACTTCCAGAGGGACTTGTGTTTAAATAGCGTCGTCTGGCATTTATAGCTCTAAAGGAAACACCAATAGTATAGACTTGGATTTTAGGAGGCTATGGGTACACTGATAACGAGTATAATAATGTGCGTAGCGAGTGCAACCTTCTACATATGAAAGGTCAGAGTGACACAGAAAGTCATGGGTGAATACTTCGCAAGAAAACAATTCCACAGAATGCGAGTCTCTCTAGAGCGGCCGCAGCGGCAAATGGGCAGCAGTGAGCAGCCTGACACTGTGACTCGAGACTGTAATGGAAGTTGACTTTGGATAGTTTGTTGTATCCCTCTGGTGCAGCTGTTTTAAAAATACAAGTGTATGTTGTGGTGCAATACTGTTTGTGATTTATACATGAAATCATTCATTAAATACAGCAACAGAAAACTGAAAAGCAAAGGCAAAGGACAAGAACATCTAAATATTTTAAAGATGCTCCATAGGTGCCTATGACTCCTATGGGGCCAACTCTGTACCGGGTCGGTCCTGGACTCCTGAGTCCTGGGCTCCTGGCCTAAAGGTGTTGAGAATTGACTATATGTGTCCAGTTGTTGTTTTTGCCCTACACGCCCACGGACTGTGGACCTATTGTTTTATGAGAAAAAAACATTATGTTTGTTTTTTCGATAAAAAAACAAAGTGCATATTTATATATATATATATTAGCGGCGGCCCAGCGGGCACTTTAAAAATAAAGCCCAAAACAAAAGTCTAAAACACCGAAATTGGGTGTTTTTGTTTTTGTTTTGCCTTTTTTTTTAAACCCCACCGTATGTAGATACAAATATTGTGTCTAAAAAAGGCAAATAAATTTACTCTGCCACTCTGGTCCTCTCCGGGGATGGGCCCGATGAGGTCTCATCGAAAATCTTTTTTTTAATATTTATTTTCTGTTCCACAGAGACCTTGATGAATGTCGATTGATCCTGGGACGGGGACCTCTGAGACTTGAGAAGTTGAGTGTCTGTGACTGTGAGGCTGTGGGCCTGTGGCCTGGTCAGTGGACTGTGACTCACTCTCTAGTCTCTGTAAATTCTGTAAATAAGGCGGTGCTCGGGGGTTTTTTTTTGCTGATTTCAGTGATTTGGCCCCATACTCTATATTTCGACAATTCTCTACTAAAATTTTACTCCTGAATTTGGTACAGGCCCGAAATTAAATGTGAGGGTTTCGACACCCAAACCCAATTTTCTTTCTTTTTTCTTGTAAAAATATGACTGGCTTTGAGGAGAGCATAATTTAAAAAAAAATGTATATTAGACCCCTTTCTCCTACTTTTTTTCGGGCAAATGTAGCAGAAACAAAAATCAATTTGGAATTCAGAAGGCTATGGGAACCGCCTAAATAATGTTTTGTTTTGTTTTTAAGAACAAAACGAGCGGAGACTCAGTCAGTCAGTCAGTCTCTCTCTCTCTCTCTCTCTGTCAGAGAAGAGTCATCATCATGTCTCTCGTCATTAGGTAACATGTTATATAATAAATACATGCCCTTTGTAAAAATCGTGGCCCTCTGGCCTCTACTGCTCACTGCTGGAACCTGGAGCCCTGGACCTCAGTTAAATTAATAGTGGCCAGTTGACCACACTCTGGCACAGAGTTACACACTATACAGTACAGTGTACAACTGTACACACTCTCAGTCACACACTGGCCATGGCACAGTTAGTCAGTCACACTCTCTGGCACACGACAGTGAGACGACACAGGCACACAGCCCACAGGCATACAGCCCACAGGCACAGCCTCACGGCCACTGCTCACAGCAGCACAGCCTCACAAGGTCACAACCTGCAGACCGTTACATTGCTGTCAGACCTGCTGTGCAGAGTGCAGTGCTAACAGCAGACCGTCAGACCCGTGCAGACTGCAGACTGCAGAAGTGCACTGTGCAGTGAGACTACAGACTACAGAGTACAGAGTATAGAGTACAGAGTACAGAGTACAGAGTTATAGACTACTACAGAAGTACAGGGTACAGAGTACAGACTGTGCAGACTGCAGAGTTCATCAGTGCAGAACTGCAGACTGCAGACTCGCAGAGTAGTATGTATGTTTAAAATACATTACTACTTAGGACTCAGAAGGTAGAAGTGGGAAGATGCAGAAGAGAGAAAGAGCGAGAATGTAAATACGAGTGAGTTTTTACTTTTGTTTTAGACTTTGAGACTAGACTGACTGACAGAGACTCTGAGAGACTGCACAACAACCAGAGATAGATGTATGTACATACAGTCATACATAGTCATAGAGTCATACATATCAGAATACATATTGTATTCATACATATGTAGTCTCATAGAGTCATAGACAACTCGCAGTCTCACACTCTCACTCTCACAGACTCTCATCACTTATCACTGCCATCAGTCCCTTGGCCACTGGAGTATTCTGAGACTGAGAGTCACTGAAGACCGAGAGAGAAAGAAATTGAGTCAGTAACTCAGTGGAGTGAGAGTGAAAATGAGGAAAATAATATACTCCAAGAGTCGAACGAACACTGCAGAATCGGCGGAATCGTAGATAATACCGAGTATGTAACCGAGAGATATCAAATTTTAAAATCAATATGTACCCATAGTCCCATAGTCTCGTAGTCCCACATTCATTGTAGAGTTCATAAATATATAAGTATAAATAAAAATTAAAAATTAAATTTATCAAGAAGACCCGCAGGCTCCCAGGCCCAGCACTTAGAGTCCCAGACTGAGATCGTTCGTCAGTCTTAGGGTTTAGGTCTTTAGGGTTTCATATTTTATTTCGATTTTATAAACTCTCGTATGTAGCCTTCTAATAAAACACTTTGTGTAAATAAATATAGAGGGAGAGTCTGAGAGAGTCGTCACGAACTACTATATTTTACTAAATGTATAAATACCCGTGTGGAAGAAACAAAGAACATACAACACTTTTCTGGCTTGTTGGAACATACTGAAGGGTGCAGCACAATGGCTCCTTTGCAAGATGTAGACATGCTCATAATCGGAGCTGGTATTAGCGGGTTAGGAATGGCTTGTCAAATGCGTAGAAAGTTTCCTAACTTATCATTCAGTGTAGTTGAAAAGCGAGCACAACATGGCGGCACTTGGGATCTGTTTAAGTACCCGGGAATACGAAGCGACTCTCCTATGCAGTCATTTGCATATTCATGGCATCCATGGAGCAAGGTAAATAATTGGGCGCAGGTCTGCGATACAAATTGTACGTTTAAACTGTGCTGTACGATGTATCTAACTGAGTATGACATCGCTTATGGCTGGTTAAACGCAATTGATCACGTTTCACCCGTATATGTGTTGTGTGTATGTGAAGAATATTATCAGATGGTTTATGCTTATGTAGGTATATATATATCGGCGAGTTTTATTGCGCATTTGTATTTGCAAGCTATCATAGGATGGTGCATATTTTACAGCGTTGCGATTTAGAATTCGTATGGATTTTCAATCATGTACAGAGAATACAAAGTCGTCATGCTTATCACAATACACGGTCTTGTAGAGAATAAGTACATTCGGGTATACAGTGTCGGATTGATGTGTTGCTAAATTTTCTGTTCTGAATGATTTGTGTCAACAGCTGAGCATTCGAGCGTCTGCGTCGGAGATCTTATGGTACCAAAAAGGTGTGATGAAGAAATACGATCTCGACGCCGACGTGATCGCGTACAATACAGCTATCAAAACCCTCAAGTTTAATACAACCACGTGCCTGTGGACAGCGACCACTGAAGATCCCGATGTATCATATACTGCAAGGTATACCGGCACAATATATGCCTAAGATATGTGTTAGTGTTTTACTATAGCTGTTAAGGTTTTGGCATCGATGCGAGTAGCTAGCTTATTAGTGTCGGGCCGAGTACCCCCAGGCAAGTGGAACAATTAGATGCAATGTTCGTTGTTGGACACTCCTAAATCATGTTCAACTTTTTCCAGTACACGACATGAACATTGTACTAGTTAGATACCTATCCACTGGCGCTGTACTATTCATTCTACATGCGTGCCAGCCTACTGGCAGATCAAGTTTGGTTGGTAATCCAGTCTCTTGCTACACTGTATACGATGGCTGTGCGTGCTCTTAGGTTTGTTTATGCTGGCACCGGCTACTATGATCAAGAGAAAGGCTACATTCCTGATTTCAAGGGCGTCGACGATTTCAAGGGGGAAGTACTCCAACCAATGCACTGGCCAGAGAACTTCTCGTGTGAGGGGAAGGATGTAGTTATCATCGGAAGCGGATCTTCTGGTGCGTGTTCGTGAGTTTTTGCCCCAAGTCTTGTGCATACGACTAATAATGGTGTAGATGTTGTGCACGCATGATAAATTTGCTTGTATATAAAGCAAATCGTGGTATGTCCTAGTACATTGATCGTATGGTTGGTTTATGACAGCAGATTGAGCAGCATAAAAGCATGCAATCAGATAAATCAGATCGCAATTATATTGATACAAAGTGCAGATCTATAGACTAGTGCTGTTGCTCATATACTGCTTCTGTATCCGTTCATACCATACACGTCAATACTTGTACAACTGCTCTAAGATCACGTCACTGCGTGTACGACAACCTTCACCAACACACACGTGCTGTCATCAATTATCGATCGCTTTTGTATATAACAGCTGTTGAGAATATTCACGACTATCCTTCCTCACTCCAGCTGTGACCATCGCACCGGCCATCTGTGACGTCGCAATGTCTGTGACTGTTGTGCAACGATCGCCAGGTTACGTTGTCAACCAGCCCGGTAGACTCCGGTTCAACCCACTGATGCAAAGGCTACTCAGTTGGTTCCCACCACTCTTCAGACTCTACACCCGATGCTACCGCTTCGTCTCAGTGTTCATGAACCAGTACGAGTACTGGCTTGCGACGAGGTATGTCTTGCAGTCTACTCTGACTCGTCAGGTGATTGTATCTGACCTGACAACATGCTTTAATATTATTGATGTTCTATGTTATGAACATGTGACTGATAAACCCATGTCACTACACTCTATACGTACTGTCGCCTAATAAACGTGCGACGACTAGGTTTCCGAATTTTGCGCAGAAGATGGTCTTGCAGGCCGCTACGGATGAAGTCGGTGAAGACGTTGTGACCCAGCACTTCACACCGAAGTATAACGTATGGGACCAGCGCGTGTGTGTGGCATCGGACGGCGACCTTTTCCAGGGTATTAAGGCTGGTAAAATTCGCTATGTAACGGACACCATCGATACGTTTACGGAAGACGGCTTGCGTTTGACTCGTGGAGATGAATATAAGGCTGACGTGATCGTATCGGCCACCGGCATGACACTGGAAATTTTCGGGAAAATCGACGTGTTCGTCGATAGGGAGCCGTTCGTAGTGAACAATAGTATTATGTATCGCTCGATTATGTTTTCTGGGCTGCCGAATCTGTTCTACGGTCTGGGTAAGAATTATTGTGACGGCTTTATATGTCCTAGTTTGAATGTCATTGCAGAGTTAGACTAAATGCTATTCCATATATCGCTGTTGTTTTCGTATCGAGGCGATGCCTGTGCGGTGTGATTGAAGGTTTTGGTCACTTAGACTTTAGAACACTAACAAAGGTATGAGTTGTTGTGCAATACAAGAAGGGTCCGGACTTGAGTTAGCTTCGAATCTGTGCAGTTGTGCAGCGTTCCGTACATTGGGGGATATGATGGATATGGCTATGTATCCATCTCTAGCTTGCCCCTCAGTGTTCGTTGACGGTAGCCGTACCTGTCTATCAAACCCCATTTGTTTACTCAAGTATATATATATATATATATATATATATATGTTATATATATATATATGTATATATATATATATATGTGTGTGTGTGTTGTGTGTGTGTGTGCGTGTGTTTGTGTGTGTGTGTGTGTGCAAATGTATATATATAGATTTACACATACATACACACACATATATATTTGTATGTATATGTATATATATATATATATATATATATATAAATATATATATGTAATTATATTTATATTTATATATATAAAGATATATATATAAATATATCTATATATACATATATATATATAGACGTGTATATATATTTATATATAATACATGTACGTACAAATATATATATATATATATATACATGTCTATATATATATATATAAATGTATATATGTATGTATATTTATATATATATATATATATATAAATATACATGTACATATATATATATATATATATATATATATATATATAGATATATGTATATAAATATATATACGTATTTGTATATATATATATATGTACGTACATATATATATATATCTATGTCTATGTCTATATATATATGTATATATATGCTCCATGTAAATATATATATATGTATATATATATAGGTATATACATACATATAAACATATTTATATAGTTAGATCGATAGGTTGTTCTATAGATATATGCATAGATAGATGCATAAATGTGTAGATGCAAAGATGTATAGATACATATACAGCAGCAGTTTGGGTTCATATGTACCGGTTCAATCTCCCACAACGAACTTGCAGGGGCTACTAATCAGTCGTGGACTGTGAAAGTGGAGTTCGCGCTGAAAGTGATAGAAGACATCATGAAGTATATGGACTACTACGAATACAAAACATGTGTGCTGAACAAGACAACCACCGATATCAGGGAAGGCGACGTACCACTGAATTCCGGATACTTCACCAGGAATAGAGACAAGCTTCCCAAATTGGGACTTGACGCTCCTTTTCATTGGGGGCTGTATGTGATCCATGACTACTTCTCGTACTTCTGGAATCCTATATCTCGAGACCCATCGTTAACATTTGCTTAAAGAATATTCATGTTAGAGCTAGTGCAAATATTCGCTGCATGGATATTACTATTGCAGCACACGAGACATTGTATATATAACGCATATATATCTCACTACACCTTTCGTGAAATGCTGATGTTTTTGCAAAAGTTTTGCACAGATCAATCAGAATTCAAAAGTGTAGCTCCAAGTCAAGTATTCGTCCATTTGTCTCAAGGAGGAGCTTTGTAAAATCTGTGGTCCGCACTTCGGATAGGTAGTGAGTTTGTGACATGTACTGGCGCAAGGGTTCTCCACAGGTATCGTACTTGCTCTATCGCTACTGATAATGAGGATATACAATTCGACTTGACACGCATTCGGAAATGAACGCATGTATGATCGAGCACTGATTTTCAAACCTTGGATGCGGTATAGAAATGTACCCTGACATAGTCTCGAAATGAGGTCGATGAGCCTATGCTAATACGACAGCTCGGATTTTGAGAAACAGGCGGTATCTGAACTGTGCATGATGACCTATGTATGCTATTTCCACTGTGACCCATTTACAGTAAAACCACAAGATTAACCTTAGTAAATACTCGTTTTATTCACATGTGCGACCGATGCGAGGTCAACTACAATTGGAGATGATCCTGCAAGAGTTGTCAAGCCCCAAGACTCAGACTCAGGCTTTTGCTACTGCACTTGATCCGTGGCGAAATTAGAAAGCACTGATGTCTTAGAATTGCATATAATTTTTATGTTGATGACATAATGTGCCGCGAAGCATGTGGATGTATTTAAGCATAAGGCTCTAATAGCACAGAGATCTTGTAAAGAGATAATCGGTTACAAATACGTACATGTGAACGGATTGCAATATATGTGTTTTATTTGGTCCGCACTGTCAGTACTTTTGTTCTTCCCCTCCACCTGCGGGACGTGGGCAGGCAGTTGAGCCAATTTGACTGAGCTGAGCTGAACATGGTCAATTTGCTGGTAATTGTGACACTGTGGGCTGGCTAACGGCTTCACAAGATAGTATCAAAAACTCATAGAATTGTGTGTGGCTAGAGAAGCTATTATAGGCCGGGGGCATGTATCATTGCTCATTACCGGCTGGTTTATATTTTATAGTAGGCTGGATATGGCAGACGTCAGGGCATATATTCGCCATACTTCCAAACGATCATCCGCAATTTCTATGGGTACTCAACATATATCAGACATCGCGGCACATGCAACTAGTTGACACCAATTTTAAGCAGTCATTTCCTTACGCCATCTCGTCTGCTTCATGGGCATCGAATAGTGGCTTCCACCCCGTGCACCCTACCCCTGCAATTTGCTGTACTTTTGAACTCCCAACACCATAAGATATGATCCATGAGCATAACGACATATGATCAAAAACGGGTTGAAACCAAAGATGTTCTTCAAGCAGCATATCTCATCAAAATGCAGGCAGTGCGTGGTCTCAAACCAACTGTATGATCATCAAAAGACTAGAAACTAGATTTTATTGGTCTTGTTCTTGCGTGGATACGCGCGCGACGCATGCAAAGTATCTAATAGCCTCACGGCGTCTCACTGTCTAATCAGCTACAGGTGTGGATTGGTGCGCATAATCGGCACGCTGCCCTCCGCACACCCGTACCTACGACATAGGAACGCCCACACTCTGCGCCCCACCACATCGTAGTGCACGCCTTTCTTCATGTTCGTCTTCGGTCTGCCCGTTTGCCCGTTGATGAGAAAGCTGGTGTCTATGGCTCCCGGCGGCTGTACGTGCAAGTGGAACGAACGCGTATACTCCGACCATTGCTTCATCCACGATATGGGCACCATGTAGTAGCACGTCACACGCGCACCCGCTTCGCCTGCGGCCTGTGCATTCGGTTGTTCGGGGTGGTCGGTCAGACCGGTGCTCTCGGTTATACTCTCCAGCGGAGTGTGCGGGTGTGAGCCGGCGTGGCCCGGGGGTTGACTACACATGCGGGATATGTACGCCCCGGGTGACGAGCCATCCCCGTCATCGCCCAAGTCCAAGCGAAAGAAACTCTTCCGCACCGCATCATCGGACGTGCTTTGGCTCTCCATGTAGTCGTTGACTGGATTTTCCGTATCATGCGCAGAATCATCCACTTCCATAGCCTCAGCGGCGTGCTTCCGTGGGCTGCAATCTATACTGTCGGTGTTGTTGTCTACCTCAGAGAGCACTCCCCGGCGGATATCATTGTTTTCGCGCGTGTCCTCGTCGTGCAGTCTGTGCACAGCGTCTCGTTCGTACTCTCGCCTGTTCTGTAAGCGCACATAGTCCCTCTCACACGTCACACACGTCGTCAGTTGTGTGACAGCTGGTCCGCCGCCGTACATTGACACAAACGTGTTCCACACCTACATTCGCAACCACAGAGAACCTCAGCACGTACTCTTACAAGTGTATAGGGGTTTCCTAGCGTACGCCGACGAAAAACATCATAGCGGATCTATTGCAACAGTGTGATATCGCATGTGCTGTTTCGAAAACAACAATATCTTGAAAGAGAAGAGTCGAGTTCCGATATGATGAAATGTGTGTGCCTTGGGCAATGCACCGCAGGAAAGCAATAAATCGCATACGATTCGGATGTAAATCATGAATGCCACGGACATAGCATATCAGTGCACAGACAAATAAACATATTCTAAATGAGAGCGACACTGACAGTAGCGTTCTCGTTTGTCTGATATATAATTCGACTAGGCATATACGAATACACATCCATACACGTATGTACCGGGCGTAGACAGTCAGACATGCACGTATATCCTGTCATTGTCTCACACTGGCACCACGAGCGCATAATACACTGAGCTGAAACATTCAATCATCTGAGCTAGATATCGAACACACATGGTACTACTCGCATAAGCCAACTGCGGCGTAAGATACTATCGCGCATATGTTTCAGGTATGCCTAGGATTACTAGTATACGAAGCAGAGACGATCATGTATATGTCGTGTACAATATAGAACCTCTCACCTAGCAGCCCAAAACCAAGTCCGCAATGTGCGACGTCAACACACACACACACATACATACATACATACATACATGTATACGCACACATGCACACACACACACACACATACATACCTGAGCTGGAACGCGGACACACATGGAGCCGCTCGTACTGGCCAATTGCGGTGTGATCCCACCGTGCCTACAGAACACGTCCGTATTCGTGATAGGCCCTGGTTCAGCAACCGTCAACCACTTAGTGAACCACGTGCGTGCCACCAGATAGCTCGTCTGCGCCTCTGCAGCGCGTGGATTGGCACTTGTACGCGCACTCATGCTCCTATGAACATTGTTCTTTGTGGTACCACTTCTACTGGCTTGAGTTGAGGGTTTGGTGTCGGAGGTTCGTTTCTCGTCCTCCATTTCCATGGCGTGGATCTGCTGCATGATGGTCAGTCGCTCGGCGCTGCGATGGGTAGTATCTTTCTGATAAAACAGTACATATCCTTCCACCTGTGTCGCACACGCGGTAAACATGCGGGGTAGATACACAAACAGCACTGGTAAATAACAGAATGAGATTCAGGAAAAGCAGAAGTCTGCAAGATGTCGCAATGAACAACCCACACGTTCTGCGGCAGGGACATCGAGACATTATTCACTGCACAGTAACTACAGAAGTATACACACTACAACATCCAACCAGGGTAAAAAGAGGGGTCGAACGGACGGTCACATGGTGATACCTCCACCATAATGCCCAGGCCAAAACCATACCACGTAGATGCACAAGCATATTTGGAATCAAAACGATCACAAAGTAATTGAGGCGCGGGAACTTCTGTAAAGAAATGCTGCAGACGATCTAGATAAGTATACTATACTAATCACGGATCACCTTCCAGTACGTGTGGCATTGGATGCTTGCTAATCATCGGCATTTTGTCCATGCTTGCATGGAAGCAGCTGAGAAGTGCGACAACCAGACATTCAACGTAATATTCTATTCGATAAACCAGTGGTACACCTCAGTAGTGTGTGGTATGCGATTTCTGAGAATACACACGCACACACACAGACACACACATATATATGTATATATATATATATATGTGTGTGTGTGTGTATATATGTATGTTATATATTTGTATATGTATATATAGATTAATGAATGTATCAAAAGGTATCTCACCTAACACAATCTCATACTTTCTGCCGCCAACATACCTTCTTTACATCACTCTCTTTACACTTGGTGACATGAGAATCATCGTACTTGAACCATTCATTGTTGATGAAATGCCTCGCATATCCAATGTAGTGCCCGTTACCCAGGCCTCCGCTATGGTTAATGACTGCCGTGAGATTGTATTTGGAACACCTGTTATTGGCCTCCATCTCCTGCATATCTCGCTTCCATTGTTCTTCCGCACTCAGGTCTCCGTCTGTGTCTGATCCCGAGTCAAAGTCTTCGCGGAAGTGTATAGTTGCATGGCTTTCCGTTCTTCCTGTTAACTCTGGCGTTTCGCCCACGTCACTCTTAGAACCTGTACTTGTCCTAACGCCACTTCCATGCTTGGCATCCAACCTCGTCTTGCCTGTGTAAGTTTGCCGCGTTGATGTGTGGCCGCATGAAGACACTGTCGCCTTCTTTGTCTTTGCCTTGGCTTCCTTTGAATGACTCTTCTTTAGGCCGTCGGCGTGAACTTTGCCACTCGCCGTTTTATTTGCCATGTGCGGGACTGTTTGCTGCGCGTTCTTCATCGCCTTGCGCGCGAGACTGGATGCGCTGTCTGATTGTGGGTTGGGGGTGTGTGATCGGCTGTTGGCGGGCGTGGACATCGGTGTCTCGTGGTGGATAGTGAAAGGGTCCATGTTCAGGCCCGTGACAGGATAGGTTACTTTAGTGGTGACTTTAGAGCTGTAGAATGAATGGTGGCTGAACCGTTTCAGGCAGATTACCTGTGGAGGCAGCAACACGGCAGAAGTTTAGAAATAAATGTACCACTGTGGAGATAATTGTAACGTTTGTGTCCGTTCAGGCCCCTAGATTGCGTACGCGAATTGTGTCAGTGCAATGGGACTGCGCTGGCGCAATCAGAGACTCGCGGCCTACAAGCTACGATAATGATCAACAAACACTATAGAGCATGCTGTTTGTTCCGAATAGACCCTTCACGCGTGTAGACTATTGTGTAGTGCAGATGTCATGAAACCACACGTGCAAGCCCCTGTACACTGTTTCTATATACAGAGACGCTGAACGCTTCATACTAGTATTTCGGGCAGATGATGGAATCTCAGGCTCTTGGTGGACGGCGTGAGATCATTACAGCTGGTACACCGGTATCGATTGCCCCCATTTAAACTTTCCACCTGTAGAGAACGAGAATCACAACCGTATTAGTGACCTAAGTCTACGAAATCTCCGGATATAATGGTTTTAAGTTTGTTGGCACGAGCAAGAAGACGCATCACGGACCAAGGTGCCCTCCTCCGTATAAAGTCTTGCGCAAAGTACATCTATACCGATGCACGGGTCATAATCGCTTTGCCGTTCTACCGTAAAAAGATCAGAAAGCGTCATTTGCAAGCAATTGAACCCATATAAAATAATACAGACCATTCACATGCGCGAGACTTGCCTAAACCACACACCTCACAGAAGCGCTCCAGACACTCCTCCAGGGTGAGTGACTTCCAATCAGTCATCCAGCTGTATGTTTCAGTGGCCACACCCTTGATACTCTGCCACATGCCGTCCTCGTTTTCGTAGCCATTACTTAAGGCGTTCCCAATTTCGATGGGTATTGTCATGAAGGGATCGAACTTGAAGGAACTGTTGCCGCAGGTGAGGCAGGTAACCTATGGTTGTGTATTGTTGTCGTCGAGTGTTAGTAATGTAAGTGAGCAACTGGTGGCATTGCTGTGGTCGCTATGAACCGTTTGTGTATAGAAGTCTACGCAAGAGAACGACAGGGAGGAGGAACTGAATGTTGGCAAACACAGTAATACTGCATCGCCAAACAATGATGGGCATATGCAGGCTTACCAGGATGACCCGGCAACGGCTAGCGCAATCCTGAAGAATGGGAACAATAAGCCTTCTATAACAACAGGGACAATAATCATCGCTCAAAACAACCAAACACTCAGGCCCGCGACTGTACTAAGTGATGTATATACAACAGAGACCTACATACCTGACTCCTCAGGGTTCCCTCGAAGAGATCGCTGATCATGGACTGATTGCGTGCGGAGGGTGCTCGTGCGCCTCTGTGCGGCACTTTCTTGCGCTTGTTTTTGGCGGGCTTTGCGTGTGCATCTGCGTGTGGATGCAGGTCTGGCAACATGCTTTGTGGGCGGAAGGTTTCCTCGTGCAGCCTGTGATAAGGAACAGATCAGTGTTTAATGAGAACACAGTGCGGTATAGGCTATACAACAACCAATCGTACCTAGTGATTGCCAATGCTGCATTATGTGTGATGCAACGAATCAATCCTCAGAAGCAAGCAGGTGGAAGCTCTACCAGAACCGTCAAGCGACAACACACCTATCCAGCAGAGCGCCGATAAACTCCTGTGAATCATGCTGCGCATATCCACTGAACATCCTATTCACGTGTGCAATGTCACGTAAAATGGCCTTTGGTGCCAGCGCACGTGGGGGATCATCGCTCCAATACCTGCGCGAATTAAACAGGAGCCAATGCAACACATGTGAGAAGGTGAGACAGCAAACGGTTCGTCATACATGTGATGTTGAAATGGTGGCCAAGTCAAAAGTGTGAGCCAGAAGGGACTCTATGGCGAAGATTGTGGCTGAGGGATAATGCACAACATCGGTACACTCATATTCCATCGGCACTGTAATCAATACTGTAGGTCTTTGTACTTGAGGTACTTCAGAGCACGGCGGGACGGTAGTCATGGCAGTACATGTACCATATCTCGCAGAATGACGAACACAAGCCCATTCTAGCACGTCCCTTTTCAGAATATTGTAAACTTTAAGTATAATATTACCAAAAGTATGAAATGGAGACGTATGACGGGAGGGCAACCACCGTATTCAACCTCCATACGAATGGTATTTCACGCGCGCAGAACACAGACATACATGTCTAGGAGATCAGCCATTGAGTCCAGCAACAGTGGATCTGCTTTCTGCGATCGGAAGGTCCTCGTTTTGAATGTAGACATGATGCGGAGATAGTCATAACAGTCTTGGATGTAGTATACCAGCGGGTCGCAATTCATCAAGGCCTGGTGTAAGAAGGAGAAACACGAGTAAGTAGACAGATCGTCCCTTTGCCTTAGTGTGATATCGACAAGTACCAGGGATGACAGATTTGATAGTCCAGCAATGGCATATTCGCGTCAAGGCCTGGCAATAAGCGTGAGCTGTGGCTGCAAAACCACTACAACTCAACGGTGTGTCAAAAGATAAAACGCGAAGACGGTGGTAGTTTTAAAAGTCAGTAAGCTGATAGCCAAGTATAGATAGCAACATTCGCGATCGCGTGTGACAGTCACTCGGGACAAAGTTACCTGCATTGCCGCGTTCATATAGCAGGTATTTCCCAGGTTCACGAGCCCCACCTTTCCCATCGAATGGGCTAGATTGGCTTCCAATCTATATATCGTATCCTGGGTTGAGCACAAGCAGCAAAGACTATCTTGTGAGTGAAAGTCCAGGTCCCATATGGACTCGAATCCGTGTATTACAAAAACAGTAGCAAATAGCGACATACTGACATACCCAAAACAACGTTTCGAATGGGGTGACTCGTACTGGTTGTGCTTGTGAGATCGGGCCAAGCCAAGTTTCAATATATACCATGCGAAGTGCTTCTCTAAGCAGAGTTTCGTTCCGAATGATGTAGCCATAAACGAAGGTACAACTTGCACAATTTAATAAGACTTGATGGTTGCGGTAATCTAGGACAAAGAGCGATGCACACAGCATAAAATACAAAAATGTCAGCTACACAACACCCCCAACCAATGCGTCTCTATGCAACCAATGCGAAAATAATGGGGTAGGATACTAAGTATAATTCAGACACAGATGGACCACAGAACGGGCACCCCGACGCAGACGTTACACATATATTACACAGAGGCTACACAGGGGTTACACACACAGAGGTTGTATACCATATCTCCGCATCGAGCGATTCCTACCCCGCTGGAGGACGTCCGCCTGTCGCAGACATCACACACATAGCACCAATCCAGCCTGGTAGTGAGATAGTATTGCAAATAGTGAGAGAAATACGTTTGCGCCAGATACAGATTATGTGCTTGATAGATACATATTATGACGATTGGGAATAAGCTTGTCGAAAATCATCAACAGAGTGAGAGTAGGCAATTGCATACCTTACATGTGAAGAATCGATATAGAATGTTGGTGGGGGATAGGAGTGCGTGTGTGCGCGACAAACGATGTTCTAGTCAAACAATGTAAGTAGATTAGACAAGCGTGTCGATATAGAGGAAAATATACAATGAATTTAAGAGGATTGCTTCTATTCATTTTGAGCCAAGCACTACTTCACAAACAAAGGGCACGTCATATACAAGAAGGCACAGACAGAGTAGCTTGAAAATTTCTCGATCTTGCGCCCACTAAAATGCGTGTATTTAACACATCGCATTTACGAATACCGCAGTAGACATTGCATGCCACCATATTCTACAAGCTACACAATGCAAACTTTCAAAAATTGTCATTGCGTGGTTTATAGAGAAAGTGACAATTAACGGATACGAAACAAATAATATATACATCAATCACAACATACTTGAAATTACAGAACAACGTGTATACATACGCTGCATGTGGATTATAGAATATTGAATGTGCGCAATCGGTGGTGTCCGCATGGATTCCTCTGTGCTTGTGGCAAAACACTTTACCACAACTTTCAACCACGCACACCCAGCAGCCATTCTGATGTAGCGCGTCTCCCGCCGGAGCTGGACATTCCTCATCAGAGCACATATATCTGTGCGCAGAGATGGATCAAGCAGAAAAAAGTAAGGTTGTTTGACTAAGGAAAAGGCATATGCCGCATATTCATACCACACAAAAAAACTAGATAGATTCACATGCTTGCGGAAGTGTATAAAAGAAAATCAGAACCATGTTTACTTAAGCTCAGGTAAATTACAAATCATTGAATGGACAGAGCTCGATTTACAGACAAATGAGGGCAGCGTAGGTCGTACCAAATACCTATACTCATGAACAACATACTAAAAATGCCATACATATACAAATATACGTATTTCATAAACTGTAAAAGTGATATCAATATATATAGGTAAATGCAATATATATATGACTGTATATTTATTATGTTATATATATATGAATATACTTG